TTTTTTTAAAGCAGTAAACAATAAGAAAAAAAATAAATTGGAATCAGAGTTCAAATCCCAAAAGATTGCCAAGAACCAAATCCCCAAGTACAAAAGCAAACATTTGGGAACCAAGATATCAGGCAGAGCACTACTAAAGATCAAAGAAGTATAGACACACTCATTCCAGGCCCAAACTATAAAACCGCATCTTTAAGTTAAAAGGAATATCTGTACTCCTATGCTTGCTGGTACACTTTGGCACTTGCCTTTTTATTTTTATTATGGAGAGATCAACATTTTCTCCTCCCTGTCCCCACCCTCTCTTTATTCAGCTTCTCCTGGCTCCTGGCCAGGACATTCTCTGGGCAGCGCGCCCCTCACGATACTGCATAATCATCGACTTACTCAGAAGAGCTGTTGCTGCTGTGGCTGAGAGGGTCAGTGGGCCGGCTAGAGTCTAGGACATGGATTCCCAGGGAGTTGATCGCTCGAATTAAAATAGTCACCATTGCCTCTACTGGAAGTTTCTCAAGAACAATCACCCGACAGCGGCTCAGAAGAGCAGCGTTGACCTGGAAGGAAGGATTTTCTGTGGTGGCCCCGATCAGAGTAATCGTCCCACATTCCACGTGAGGAAGGAAAGTGTCCTGATCATGGGAGGAAAACAGAAGAAATTGATTGCAGTTAATAACCACCTACAGAACTCTATGTAAGTTGGCTATCAACTTCTTCCTTTTCCTAATTTCTCTCTTTCCAGTTGAGGAAGTACAGACTTATAATCTTGGAATATGAGTCCAACATTTGGAGTGCAGCCCTTGCTTTTGTTTAAGGCCAAACATCTTCTGTAAGAGGGTTTCAGTTGGGACGCCTGCTGGGAAGCTAACAGTGCTGAAGGTAATTCGAATTTAGTTTCAACAAAAATGATTTCTCTCATAGGGAACCATCTTCTGTCCCAAAGCTGAACTGGCACATAACTTAAATAAAGCAGGCCAGAAGACAGTGAGAAAATACGAGAACATGAATCCCCATTTCTAAAGCCACTTTCTACTACAAACTACTTAATCACTGTTATTCTAACAAACCTACAATTATGATGCTGTCTTAAGGGGAATGAGTCAGTGGCCCGATATGAAACCTACAGTGCAAACTTCCAGTCAGAATGATAAAGGGTCTGTTTGTTCAAAGAGATTCAAAGAAGGAAAAATGCTTATTGGGATTTTGTGAAATATTTCTATATGATTATAAAATTGCAACAAAAAATATAAATATCATAGATAAAAGTATAGCTGGAAAAGATTTCAATGTCTACTTAGGAAGAATCCAAGAGGGGCTTTGTTTTAACAAATTACGTCTATTTTTATTTCATAAGGAACCCCTTGAACTGTTCGGCAAGTGTTGGACTGACAACTGCAGGGCAGGCAATTCAAGCTCTATGGGAGAAAGATGAGGCTGTCTGCTCCTATAAAGATCAGAGGCTCCTAAACCCTACAGAGGGTCACTGTGCATGGGAAAGGGGCTTGACAGCAGTCAGCTTTATTGTTTCAGAAAGCAAAATAAATAAACCGGTATTACTGGCTCGTGTAACATTCACTTTGATAAGAGCCTAGAGCTACAGAAAACATACTAGTTTTTCAAATAAAAAATAACATTTTATAAGGGAGAAAGAGAACATATTCATATAATGATGTTAAGATTAAGTGAAAATATTCACTTGGGGCTACAAATAAGTTCCCTTAAAAATGGGTGGGGCCCTGGTAGTACAATGGTTAAGTGCTTGGCTGCGAACCCCAAAACTGGAGGTGCAAACCTACCCAGTGGCTCCTCAATAGAAAAAGCCTGGCAATCTGCTCTGCTACGTTTCTAACCGAAGAAAGCGCATGGGACAGTTCCATGAGCTGACGCAGACTCGATCACACTTCAACAAAACTGGAAATATCAACCATTTCAGTAGTCAAACACAGAGGGTGGGGTGGGAAATAAGATACATATATGTAATATACTCACACATACTTGGTCATACACACACGTAAGGAAAACAAGCTCAAAGCAGTGTGACAAGCCTGTCTTTGCAGACAAAGTTAATGATGATAACTTCTAGCACGAGTACAGGGATTAATAATTTTCAAAGTGATTACACATTTATTTGATGTTCACCGTGGCCAAAGGTAGAAGAAAATTAATATACCTGCTGAGATTTGTTAAACCGATGAATCTCATCAATAAAAAGGATAGTTTTCCTTTTGAAAAAGCTCTTTTCATTTTGAGCTTGCTTGATGACATCTCGCACATCGTTGGTCTTGGCATTTGTTGCAGACAGTGTCACAAACCTTATGCTATGCTTCTTGCTGTTGTTTGCGATGATGTGGGCCAGAGTGGTCTAGGATAGACAACAAATAAGAGCTTAGGGAACTGATCTGACACAGAGGAAGCAGCACCCATGAGTAACATCACAGGGAGAACAGCATTATTTAAGCAGTAACCTGAAATCTGAAGAATGCTTAGCAGCGAGATACAATCTGCAATACCACCACATGCTTTTGAAAATCAAGGGCAAAAAACAGGAAAGGAGCTAAATCTTAAATTAATTTGGACTCTCTCTCTTTTGTATGTAACCCCCTTTGAGACCTTTTCTTAGGACTTTTAAGATCTTTGGAATTCCAATAAAAAGAACAGCTGTCTTGATTTAGCAATCTGAATGACAGCTATGATCTCTCACTAAAGTGAAAATTCTCCCTCCCACACCTGAGAAAGCATTACTGCTGAAGGAAACCAACTGCCTTCCCTGCACATAATCAAAACAAACTGGAAGCTCACTGGTGTAGCTTCACACGCCCCGCCCTTCCCCACCCACATCATAAATGCCCCTCTAAGTTGAAAGACCAATGACAGCTATCCAACATTTAAGATGAGAGCATGGCCATTCTGAATGTCTACCATTCTGAATGATGAAGTAAATGAATGAACAGCATTCTGCTCATGTTTACCAAAAACAAATGAGAACCAAAGAATGCATTGCGCATGTCATTGTAAATATCATTACCATTGTCAGCTCAGCTTGGGCTCACTGCCATTAAGTTGATGCTGACTCAGTGACCCTAATGGGTAGGGTAGAACTGCCCTGTGAATTTCTGAGACTGTAATTCTTTATGGGAGGAAAAAGCCCTGTCTTTCTCTCCAGGATTGGCTCTTGTGGATCACAGTCCAACTAGTAAGCACTATGCCACCAGAGGTCCTTGTCAGAAGTTAAAGTGATTCTGTAGTAAAGAAGGAAACTCCAAGGGAAGATTAATGATAGGAATAAATCCTGATTAACTTACTGTAGGTTTGTGCAAATTTCTAACTATACTATGCACAAAATGCATTGACACCCCCCTCCACCCCCACACCCCCCAAAGTAGAAAGCATTATGAGAAGAGGTATTGGAATGGCAGCTGAAATTGACTTCAGAAGGAAGGGAGCTTCTTTGTAGTCCGATTAAGTGAATATATTCTCAAGGATAAATAAATCAGACTTTTAAAATAAGCTAATGGCCAAAGGAAGAGGAAGAAACACTGCATTGAAATAATAATTTTTAAAAGTACTTTATTTAAAGCAGAACCTATATATACAAAACATACAAATGTCCCTTTGCCATTTTTGCAGGATGTTGTTTCCTTGAAAATGGGGGTCGCTAAATGTCACGGTGTGGGGCAGTGGAACATAAAGATGAGTCAAAACCAAGAGTCCATATATTCTTCCTTTAGAAATGTGAATTTATTGACATTTATCTTACTTAAGCCTCAAGGTGCTCTGGTGGCATAGTGGGTTGGGTAAGCCAGAGGTTCACACCCACCAGCCGCTGCTTGGCGGGAGAAAGATACTAAAGACTGACAGCCTCGGAAACCCACACGGGCCATTCTACTGGGTCCTACAGGGTGCCTATGAACCAAGGAAGACTGGAGGGCAGGGAGTGCTTAAGGAAGGGTGGGGTGCGTGCCTTTCTGGAACACATGAGACTCCCCACCTGTGGGCCAAGCATTGCCCCAGCAGTCTTAGGCCTGAATATCCAGGAGCGTCCAGTAGACTCTCTGGGAGTTAACATGTCACCTTTTACGAACCCAAACCCCTTCGACTGGTGGATGCATTCCCTCGTTCTCCAGGGGTGTGGTGGTAAGAGGTTTAGAGCTTGGATGCATTCCCTCGTTCTCCAGGGAAGTACTGGTAAGCGGTTTAGAGCCGGGAACCCTTCTGCCCAGGCGGCACTCACCTTGCCACAGCCGGGCGGCCCCCAAATGATGAGGGAGGGGATCTCGTTGGTCTCCAGGAGGGACCGCAGGAGGGTCTCCTGGCCCACAGCCCTGCTTTGCCCGACGTAGTCCTGCAGCGCTTCAGGGCGCATCTTATCAGCCAGCGGCTTGCCCTCCAGCATCTGCCGGATCTCCTCGGCGGCCAGGGCCCGGGGGTGCGGCCGCCCCCCGCCGTTGCCCCCGAAGGCTGCGGCGTCGACAGCGTCGGGATCCCAGGGGCCCTGCTCGTCCTCGCCGTCTCCGTCCGCGTCGCCGTCGCCCACCGCCTCCTCCTCCTCCTGCGCCTCCGCCTCGTCCCAGCTCCGGGGAGAGGCGCTCCCCGCCGCGGCGGCCGCGGCCGCCGGCCTCTTGCCGGACCCCTTCCTCCCCGGGCTGCCGGCCCGGGCCACCGGGAAGTCGGGGATGAGGCGGGCGCCGCTGGGCGTGGGCGGCGCGTCGTAGCTCTCCCGGCTCTCGGTCTCGCCGCCGTCGTCGCCCTCCTCGCCCTCGCCCTCGCTGCTCTCGGCCGCCGTCGGGGTGGCGGGCTGCTTCAGCGCGGAGCTCTCCGACAGACGCCGCCTCTTGGAGCGCGGCGGCGACGGGCCCTTGGCCGGGTCCCCGGCGCCGTGCGGCCCGGCCGCGGGCTCCGCGTGTCCGGCGGGGTGCAGCAGCAGGCAGCGGTCCAGGTGCGAGTTGATGTGCGCGGCTGGCATCATCTGCTGACACACGGGGCACTGCACCTGGTGCAGCTGCGACAGGAAGGGGTCGTCCTCCGGCCTGCTCACCTCCATCGCGGCCGCGGCAGCCCCTGCTCACGCGCAGGCCTCACGAACCCTGCCGCTTAGGCCCCGCGCCGCGCGACCCTCGGGGAGGTGGCAGGACGAGCGCGGGCCGGGGGAGGGCGCGTCTCGTGCCGCACATCCGGAGCTGCCGCGTCGGCCCGCCCTCGGCCCCCGCCGGAGGCGCCGCCAGCGGCCCTCTGGGAAGTGTAGTCCGCGGCAGCCGGCCGAGGCCGCCGAATGGTCCACTTCCGGAGCGTGCACCTCCTCTTCCGACTCCGTGTCCGCCACTTCCGGTTTCCGTGCTTCCTTTGTGCAGGACCGGGGCTTGCGGGGCAGCTGTAAGCAAGGAATTATATATTACACTCTCAGTTAACGTCGAGGTGGTGGGCCTGAAGCCCCTCCTGTCTTTCGAAGCCCCCATAACCATAACTGAAGAAAAGTCTGTTCAGATGTGCCAGTTGGCCTCGCTCGCCGTTAGAGGATGGCTTTACACGTTCAGTTTCAGAGTGGATTCCTGTAGCAGATTATCTGAAGAGAAATGTGAAGAAACGCTTTAATGGAAACTGAACGAAGGATTTTAAGAGAGAGAAAAAAACAACGAATTACCAAGCATATGAAAAGAACATCCCCCTTAGTAGTGGTCAAAGAATTGCAAATGAGGT